ACTACGCCCTGCAGGCCCGAGGCTACGCGAGCACTCTTGCAGTTTCACGGTCATCATAGCTCTTTCATGCAGAAAAAAACGCTGCTCAAATGAGAAGATTTGACGACCCCTGCGATCACAACGGTCAATCTGGTCTTTCTTGTTGCTACCTGTGGCAAGTACAAGGATAGGGCCGTTACTGTCGCTGCTGCTGCCGCTGAGACTTGTGCTGCAGATGGTACACCTACTCACTGTGGTGTTTTTCCTCTCTACTGCCACTGCCACTGTGACAATTTTTAGGTCAATATGAAGGAGCCATCGTTCGAGGACCTACTCCATTGCTACATCATACCCATCCCTTCATCATACCCATCCTTAACCTTACACCCTCAAACCCAAAACCCAAAACCCTAAACCTTGCAAATCGTGGAGCATGTGCAGGAGGGCCTTAACCTGTCGCTGCCTAGCATCGTGCAGCTGTCGCACCTAGGCTCAAAGGTTTTCCAGGCTCCGCAAACCAATAGGTTTGAGGTTTTTGGATTTAACGTTTAGGGTTATGTGTTACGGGACGGAACTGAACAGGGCTTTCAATTGGGCCTCTTCTGGACGCATGTTGTCCCATCTGGCCAAGTCATGCATTGTTGAGTTGTTTTTTTTGTCCTGCCTGAAGCTCAGAAGCGGAGACTCTGTTTAGAAAGGGGAATTGGAAAAGAACATAGAAACTACCATGATGAGGTTATATGGGGTTATATAGGGATAATGGAAAACAAAATGGAAATTACTATGATGGGTTATATCGGCGTTATATAGGGATAATGGAAGATAAGATAGAAACTACTATAGTATATGGGGTTATATTAGCATAATGGAGAATAAAGTGGAAACTACTATCTTGGGTTATATACGGTATATATTGGGGTTATATGGCGAAGCTTACATGGAACTCCCAAATTCTATTTCATCTTCCATGTCATGTTCCTTCTGATTCTCGCCCACACTTGGAAGCCAGCTCTCTGTTTGTAAGAAGGAGGGACAGGGCGTGCCTAAAGAAAGGCCTATGAGTTTGGGGAGCCATAAGAATAGCAACAATAGGGTTAAAACAAATAGGGTTAAAACAATACTAGCAAGAATTCAAAGCCTTCATAATATAGCAATAGCCACCATTTGCATTAAACAAAAAAAACAATTCTCCCCATACAACCCCATATAACCATACACATAACCATGTGTATATGTATATACATCCCCTGTAAAATCTCTATATATCCCTACAAAGCCCCTATGTAACCCGATTGGGGTCTGGTCTGAGGCCTGCGCAGCATCCCGAATGCGCTCGATGAACTCCTCCTCCTCGTGTCGGCTGCAGGCCTTTGTCAGCATGAAATGGAAGGGCTGGGTAGGCAAAGGCTTGGGCGATGTAGGGGTTTTGGGGTTTAGGGTTTAAGGTTTAGGGTTTTGGGAGGGTTTTGGGGTTTGAGGCGTCCTCTTCAAGGGGATAATATAAGGTTGACATGGCGTTATATAGGTTTTAGGGTTTAGGGTTCCCAAAGCTACGGGTACTTTTTTTGGGGCTCATATATAATAAAGATCATTGTATTTTGGGGTCTATACTGGGGTACCCTTTATTTTGGGAAACCATCATATAGGGGTGAGGCCACGTAAGACAAATCCCTTGTAATGACAGAGATGACACTTCCAACCCAATATTTCGGGTTATGGCGTGAGTGTCTTCTTATCTGGGAGTCTCCAAAACTATCCCTTATGGAATCGTTATTGGGGACCCCAATAACCCCCCTACCGTCGCCATGCATCCCTTACGGTCCTCAAAGGGGGCCCCTGTCCAACCTATTTCAGCGGGCACTGATAACGAGGCCTTTAGCGTACATAAGGGGGAATCTTTTCGGGAAATACCCACCTCCAGGAATCCCCCACCTACAACAATGGGCTTGCCATGGGCCCAAGCGCCGCTGGCTGCAGCACCACGTATGGCAGCGGCCCTGGGCGTGCCCAGCCTTCAGGTGAAGTCTGCGGTTGAAACTGGCTATATCCCCTGCATGAACCCTTAAGGGTTCCTAGAATCCCCCTAAAAGGCCTAAGGGCCCCTATCAGGGGCTCATAAACTTCTAACCTTCGATGCAGGGCTTCTGACTTGTTCAGTTTAGGGTTTGGAAGTTTAGAGTTGGGGCTTTGAAGTCATATCTGTATGGCGATATCATTCTTCTCACTGTGCATCCAGGGCACCTGAAATTACACCCTAAACCCTGAACCATGTAGGGCTTGGAGTAGCCTGTATCCAGCAAACTTGTTTGTACCCAAACTGGTCGCTGCGTCAAATCACTTCTTGCATGATCATGTGAAAATGGCTTTGAGGGTTCAAGACTATAACGCTGAGAAACTGCAATTGCGATCTGGATTTGATGTCTCTCTGCATAGCAGCAGAACAGAGGCTGCGGATGGAAGAATGACAATCGCCGCAAAAGCATGGGAGCAAATGTTTCCAGCACTGCATTTCGCACTGCTGCTAGCAAAACGCTTCTTACGCTTTTGATGCGCAATGCTGCATGCCATGCAAACTGCATGCACAGTGCACCAAACCAATTTCTACGGCGATTTGCGTGGGAAACTGTCCTTTAAGCGTGTTGGCGGGATCCTACCTGTTTCCCCGTGAAAGCTATGCTCCACTCAGGCTGCCGGACTGAGATCAAACACTGTCAGCAACCACCTGTGATGGGGCTTTTATCTGGTACATGCTGGCTGAAATGTTTGCACGTGGACTTCATCCCTCCATCCTGACCTATCCAGCGTCAATCACGTGGCAGCTAGTCTAAACCAGGAGCCGTGAACCTTCAGAGTTTCCGCTACAGTTACATCAAGCCCACAGAAATCAGTCCCATCTAACCAGCTGAACCAGGTCAGGGGCTCGTAGCCGTCGGTTTGTGCCTCGCCGTCCTGCACCTCAGCAAAGCAGAGTGCCTATAGACAGGGGCCCTGCTCCTGCACCCCTCCTCGCTCCGCAGGTTATATCAATCACCCTTGACAGGACCCTAGAATAGGCTTCCGCCTGGAGATACACGAGACACACCCTTCTTAACCACTTTCAGAAAGTGGCTGAACTACTTACCGAAAATGGCTAAACACTTGAATCGTGTGTCTCTGCAGTGCGACTGAGCCTGTGCCTATGCTGAAATCAAGCTTTGCGTTGCTACTGGGTGTCACTCTTGTACGGTCCAGAAGAACGGAATCCCCTAAACCCTAAACCCTAAACCCCTAAACCCCTAAACCCTAAACCCTAAACCCTAAACCCTAAACCCCTAAACCCTAAACCCCTAAACCCTAAACCCTTTGTCTTATAGCCCTAGAGGAGCAGAATCGCACCATGTTTTGGGTGCTGTGGACCTGGCCGTGACTGGCAGCTTGGCGTCGCCTCGCGACAAGTGGAAAGCGGAGGGGACTTGCGAGGCAGAAACCTCAACAACTAGTGCTAGCAGTCCCTTGGCCCTTTAGTTGCACATTGCATGTCCCTCATGAACCGATTGCAGGCATGGGTCAAAGAAAGTCCTCTGCACAAAGAGCTCAGCAATGCATTTTTTACTCTTCAAATCGAATCGGGAATTCGCGAGCGACCGCTACGGCATAGTGTGCTGGAGGGTGAGGGACACCCCCATCCAGCTGGTTGAGCACGTCGCGGAGGATTTGAACTGCCCAAGGCCTCCAGTCAAAGCGGCTCAAAACGGCATACCCTAAATGTCGACCTCCCGTGAACTTTCAGTTTGGTCCCAATTGGCCCGGCTCTCCACTTGAAGATTCATGGCATTTATTAAGTTAGCATTACGCGTATCACTACACCAGAAACCTACATGTATGTAAGCGTTCGAGCTTCGGAGGGGGGACTTCATGCTGGCTGTAGATCCCAAGCCCTAAGCAAATTGTATATAGTAGTCCCATGAACGGCCCCTAATGTGTACGCAGATTCGGGGCCCCCTTTCTAAACGGATCTATGTCATTCCTCATTCTGGTATATAGGGGTGACAGTGGGAGCATCTTCCCCACGTAGATATGGGTACTATGAGACCCCAAACAAAAACCCTAAACCGCATATATGCCTACGACGAGGGTACATCCCAACCCCCCCCCAACATAACCCTTAACAAAATAATGTCTATGCATTACGTGTGTTCCCTGTATCCTACAGATGGCCCTTTTTTGAACCAAGTAGGACCATTTTCCCATGAACTACCATGCCCAAAAGGAGGATGTATTTTTACTTCCCATAGGGGTAAGATATCCCCCATTAATTAGCAATCACCATAAATAAGCCCTTGCATAAGCTCAGCTTCTATTTCATTTCCGTTCTCATTCCGATTTGATTCTTCACTATATGGTAGTGTCCATTCTCTGTTCCATTACCCCGATATTGACAGCATCTCATGTATCCCTAGTACTACAGCGGTTTCAATTTCATTTTCCATCTTCGTTTTCATTTGTCTCTCCATTATCCCTAATACCCTAAACCCCCCAAGGGCGGTTTTATAACATACTTCCCATATGAGCTACAGTCAACCAACCGTTCCTGCATGATTTGATGGAAATGGCTTCCTCGTTGGGGACTATATTCAGCACTATACCACACTATAAGAGGGTCCCCTATGTCCAGTGTTAAGGGTCCCCAAATAAGCCTAATGTTGGCAGTAGCTCATCGTATTCCTACTTACCCCTACATGCTGGCAGTTTCCATGTCATTTTCCATCTGATTCTCCATTTTTAGGGGTAATATCCCTAAACCCTAAACCCTAAACCATATCCCTAAACCCTAAACCCTAAACCATATTCCTAAACCCTAAACCCTAAACCATATCCCTAAACCCTAAACCCAGGGCAAGGCGCATGGCCCAGAAGTAGGTCCCACCTTTGAAGCCAAGCTCCCAACCTTCCGGCTGAGCTACATGGGAGTTTCCCAAAACTAGAGGTACCCTTTTTGGGGTTTAGGATTTAGGGGTTCTGGTTATATAGGGAGTTTCCCAAAATTAGGGATTATAGGGGTATAATATAGGGATTTTATTGGGATAATGGAAAATGTGAGCTATATAAGTTATATTGGGATAGTGGAAAAGAAAATGGAAACTTCTATATTATAATTTCATATGGGGTTTCCTAAAATTAGGAGTTATATAGGGATGTAATATAGGGATTATATTGGGATAATGGAAAGTAAAACGGAAACTACTATTTAGGGTTTAGGGATAAGGGTTTAGGGTTTCCCAAAATTAGGGGGTACCTACTATAATGGAGAATCAAATGGAAAAGAAAATGGAAAATGAAATGGAAACTGGGATTCCATAGGGGATTATAGGGATTAGGGTTTCCCAAAATTGGGGATACCTTTTTAGGGGTCCCAATAATAAGGACTATAGTATTTTGGGGTCTGTATTGGGGTCCCCTTATTTTGGGAAACTACCACATGTATGGTTGTTTTATTAGAACTTTTTTTCCAGGGCAGGGGTTTAGGGTTCAGAGTCTAAACTCCTAGTATCCCCCTTATAACCCCTATAATACCAAGATATATAATCTGCATAGTCCGCAACGTGCCCGTGCTTTTGACAAGGCTTGGGTACGAAGAGCTCCATAGCAGGAACTCATCTTGAATATGATAAAGTGCAGGAAGTATTTGAGTGTCTGCACAGTCTCCTTTACCTCATCCCACGGTTCTTACTGCCTACACTGGTAGCAACGGACACAAGAGAAGCAGATACAAATCATCAAGAGTAGTGGCAATAGCACAAATGTTGCTTTCGTCAAAAGCCCACGCCCCCGTTGAATTGTGAAAGCGAAATCAGAAAATCCTGCCCTCACGCTACTCTAAGTGGAGTCTTTATACATCTCTATACATCCCTACCTCTCCCCAGATGTCTCCGTTTCTACCTGTATAGACTTTACACTTCAATTTCAAGGCATCTACCAGCGAAAGCCCATGAGAGGTCGGGAAACGAATGAAATCCACCACAGCCAAGTCGAAGTGCTGCTTCCTGAAGGACTCAAAGGCACGCTGGTACTTAGTAGGGACTTATATGGACTATACTGAAGGATTATATAAACAATCGTCTAAACTCATAGTATCGCCCTCCATAACCCCTATGATGCTCCCATATATAAGCCCATTTAAGGAGTTTAGGCTAAATCTCATATAAACTTGATGGGGACAACTACAGGGATCCTGTCCTGCATTTACGACTAACCAGCCAGGAAAAGCAAGATTCGCACAAAGAACCAAGTTTATTGAGACATTCATTCATTCATTTACTTATTTCTGTCAGGGTCGCGTCACATGATGCAGTTCTCGTTTTCTAGGCATCCCAATAAATAGGGAAGTACATTTGTGCGAAGCACTCGTTCAAGGGGGCCGCCACACGCTCTTGTGCGATGTGCAGGAACGGTGTGTGTTTGTGCTAAGGCCTAGATCGCTACACTCCTGGCCCTCAGAATATTCGAATCCTTATCACAAGAAAGAGGATCATTCTTCGGCACCAGCTGGCACTGCTTTGGGACTATTCCTGCCCAGTGTCAGAATAGCATGGGTGTAGGCGGCCCTGGATGCGGGAGGCAGCAAGTCCAGCAACATCTGGTGGTACAGTGAGAGGAAGTCCTGCGCAGATTTGCAGTCTTTTCGATATGCCGCATGTGGCAAGAGGCCACCTGTCAGTGCGATATGGCAGGGGATATTGACATGGTGCATCAGAGCTTCAGCATCGATCGGAAGTATTTAGCTGCTTGAAGAAAGCCTCTAGACACGTCAGCCATGCGCTTCCTCGACCACATTTGTTGCTATCTGGTCCCAAAGCAAGTACGCCACGTCATAGACGCCGTAGCCTCCAGCGACGAGACTTGCAAAACATAAATAGTAGTTTCCATTTTCTTTTCCCTATCCCTGCATAACCCCTGTATAATCTAGTAGTTGACATTTTCTTCTCCATTATCCCTAGATAACCCTATATGATACCCCCTATGTTCAGTCTGGAATCCCCAGTCTGACTGCGAGAAAGAGAGCGCGTGTGATGTTACAACCATTCCTCTTCAATGCGCAGAATTGAGGCGATCATTTGTATGTCTATGCGTTCGACATTGTGCGACCATCGTTGCAGGAGTCCAGGGGTCAACCCCCATAAATATCCCTGCATAGTCCCCATATACGTGTACATATGAGTATGTGTATATACACACATATACATATAGGTATATATAAATAAATATATATATATATATACACATAGGGGTTTCCCAACATTAGGGGTACCTTTTTGGGGGTCCCAATAATAAGGACGAGAGTATTTTGGGGTCTATATTGCCGCCCCTATTTTGGGACACTACCATATACACATGTGCGCTTTGATTACATGCCCTCCCAACAACAGGGGGACTATAACCCCAATATATAACCCAAATATAATATAGTAGCTTCCATTTTCTTTTCCATTATCCCTATGTAATCCCAATACATAACGTTTTATAATGTAGCAGTTTCCATTTTCTTTTCCATCATCCCTATATAACCCCCATATACCCCTATTTAACCACAGGACCCTCAGCCTTCTCCGACCCAGCCAAAATCCAAAGCAGCGCAGCGAGGGCTGGACCCTTCGCTGCAAAGCAGATTCTCTGGCTTCGCATCGCCATGCACCTAATACCAGGGTTTAGGCTTTAGGGTTAACAATATTGATGAGCTTATTCGGGATTATACCAGGGTCTGGGCTTTAGGGTTATATTTGGCAATACTATGGAAGTTATTTCGGGCTTATACCAGGGCTCGAACTTTAGGGTTATAATTCATAATATTATGGAGGCTATATAGGCAGTATACAAATTCTTTTATTGTACGCCCCTTTAAGGTTTAGGGGCATAATTATCAATATGGGGGGTCGTGGAGGGATTCTGCCAGAGGTAAGGGTTATAATCAACAATACTAGGTGGGTCGTACCAGGATTTATGATTATAGTTCACAATGTTGTTGGGGATATATAGGAAACGCATGGGGACGTTATATCAATAATGGAAAATCAAATAAAAACACGGATCATGAAATGGAAGCTGGGAGTACACAGGGGTTTCAAAGGGATTATGCGATGTAGGCACCTGCCTGATTGCCAAGTATGAAATTGAGGTATAAGCGAGGTACTCTGTACACTTGACTTATTCAAATCCAGGGAATCTGGGACGATAATGTTGGTCTTTATTCAGGCTTCTGCATTACCCGCAAGTTTCCCGAACACTAGCGGTGCAGCAAGCCAGAGTTCTCAGGTCTATCCAGGAGCATGTGAAGGTCCATGGTTTTCAAGAATGTGGTGCCTTTTTTTTGGGGAGTCCTTGTGATAAGGGTTAGCGAATTGGGTACCTTGGCACCATATCCGGGGATGTCTGATATTTAGCGGGTTGGTGATGTATGCGTTATTTTTTACAGAGAGCGTCGAGAAACACAGGATAAAAACGCAACAAGCAAATCCCAAACTTAGGGGTGGCTTAGGTCAGGAAATGAGAAAAGGACACCGCTGGTGTTGCAAGCTCCTTTGCTATGCTCTGAACCACTTTCTTCAACCACCGAACTGACCTTCCCCCAAGTCCACTGCACATAGGATCCATGACATGTTTTCACGACGGTCTCCTTCTACATGAGCTATAGTCCTAGACTCTTAGTATCCCCCTTTGTAACCCTAGAATACTGCCCTATGTAATCCCCTATACAACTTTTTAAGGAGTTTAGACTATAGCTCCCATAGGCTGAGGACATGGATGCCAAGGAGACCAGGACAAACGCAATCTTGAATTCCCCTGCACCCCACCAGCGTGCGGAAGCGCGAGTCGATCTTGCTAGAGTTTGCCGGATCTTTGCCAGCCTGCGGCGCACAGCAATGCAAGCTTCTGATGCATTGAGGACTCCCGTAGTCTTCTTGCAGCAGCAGCATGTTGCGTAAGGAGCAAAAACCAAGGCTGGGGTTAAGCATTCATGCATACGACTACCTTTTGGTGAATTGCAACTTCCTTGCATCACCGCTCGTTCTGGCATTTCCACTCTGCGTGGAGATCTACAAACATAGTCTCTTGCAAGCCCTCCCGGCACCAGGCGTTCATCCACCGCAGGCCCGGCAAGTCGCAAACGCTGGCATTCCTGCAGCAGTCAGAACTAAAAGTAGGGCAATCATGAGACTAAGACAATGCCGATCAAATTCGGAATGGTCACTCTCGAAGAAGAAGAGTCCCACATAGTTTTTGCAAAAACTCTGGAGGAAAACATGTAAAGGTCCATCCAAACAAGGCAAGCTTGTCAAGCCTCTAGTCCAAGAACGGAGAAGTTGCAACGGAAGTTCGCCTCACAGGTTCCCCGAAATACTCCGGTCAAAGCCCATAATCTACTTACAAGTTGCAACCACTGGGTTGGCCCCTAAAACCCTTTGAAAAACATCAATATATAGGGTCCCCTATTAAAGCCATTAGGGAAAATGTTAAATATCCCAGGGCCTACCCAAACCAACACAACTCAAGCCACAGGCCTCGGCACTGAGATAACGATTGCTGAAGTCAGCGGGCAACGCGCTGAGCTGCAGCCTCATGTGTAGCAAAGCAAGTTGCTGCACTGGAGTATCCACAGATGGGGGTAGATATCCAACAAAACCACTCATAGAGACACCCAATTTCTGGAAACTGCCATATGGAAGGTTAGATCCCCCCAAAATAAGCTTGGCACTGTCACCACCTCTACCGCCATTTCCTGATAGACAGACTGTGCAACCTCTGGAATTTCAAGAACCTCCAAGATCCCTCAAGGTTCAGCTGCCTGTTTAGGCAACATCTGGGCAAATGTGGCGCACTGTTGCTAACAGGAATCTGACCAAGCTTGTCGAGGATCCAATAACCTCGGCTAGAAGCTGTGGTGATCTGAATGCTGTTGCCTTCATCTTCTGTATAAATACCCTAGCCCGATTGTGCCCATCTTTATCCATTACTGTCATGGCATCTTACGAGAAACAGGCATCCAAACAATCTTGCACCACATCTAGGCCTGCGGAAGTGCTGGCCAAGCGGACGGTCCTGCAAAAGCCTGACTTTGTTTAGTTTCTGCTAATTTCCCTCACCAAGAATATTGAGGACCGCCCCGCCCCCCTCCCGCCCCCACCCCAACTTCTCTATCCCTGTTGCAACACCAAAGCAGGGCATCTTAAGTGTTTTCGATCCGAACCGAGAAGCGAGAACCGGAAAAGGGACTGTGCCCGCTGTTCAACCCCACGCTCCCTCATCGTCAACATTTCCCCACTTGTACTATGCTGATCTCTCCCCGCACCCGAACAGTCAATATTTCACCCATACTTCTCCTTTTATATACTGGTACGTACTGTTAAGTTAGTTGTGTTTAATAATAGTATGAAGGCATTTAACATATGGGGGGCTTGGACCATCCCCATGTTGTTCCTTGCAGCCCAAAAGCTGCCTCGCTGCCAAACCCCACGCTCCACTGCATGCGGGCTCCTAAACGCTTTTGAAACCCGTTGGCCAAGTGCTTCCCAAAGGGGTGGGTTTAGGGTTTGGGTGTGAGCTTTCATGGATACCTATAACCTACCCAAAAAATCAATGGAGAATCGCATGAAAACACAAGTTGGAAAATTAATGGAAACTCGGGTTTCGAGCGTCTTTACGATTCAGGCTCCAGGGCTTTCGAAGGAAGCGTGCAAGTACATTCCGAAGCAATAGTGTTGTGTTATCCATAACCCTATCTGTAAGGGCGTAGGTCGGCGTAGATGAATCACTTCGGTGTTGGCTTGCCTAGTTTAGTCGCTGAGAACTACTGGCATCTGTATAGGAGTTCCAGAGCTTCAGCTTTCGCCAAAGCGAAGCCATTTCCCACGTAAAACGCCGCTTGGGATGAGGTTGTGTCAGGTTGCTAGAATCTGCCAAGGAAGAAACATAGGGGCAAAAACACGATCGCAGAAATCAGCTATAACGACCCTTATCAGCAGGGTTTCATCTTAAAAGAATATTCGAGCACTCCATCTTGAGAATGATCCCGAACCATCATGCAAAATCCTTCATATGCGCACTGCATAGCGGTGTTTAGCCCTTCATGGTTTTGCATGCTTTCTGTTGAGCCTGCCCCCCCCCCCCCCCCCCACATTCTGGTGCCTTGAAACTCCTTTTGCCGAGCGTCTCCCAAAAGAGGGCGTGGAAACTTGCCAGCCACCTGCTTACAGAAACACAAAAACTATCTGCTTTCTAATGGCACCCCCCCAAGAACAAGTATTTGCTGGATCAAATTCTGGGACTATCTTGGGGATTGGGGATATTAGCCAAGGGGCATCTACTAGGGGCGGTTACAGGCATAGATTAAATCCCAGTCCCAAAATGTCTGCCGGAGAAATTCAGTGACTTGCGGAAATTGGCTTTATGGGGAGGGGTTTGAGACCACCCTAGTAGTACCCTAGTAAAAACCGTCATCAACGAAGCAATCTTGATTGTCTTTGCCCTTGCAAATAGCATCAACAACCATGACACTAATTAGCGTACTTGCGCAGCAGGAGCTCCTGATTTTTAGGTAAACTATAGTCTAAACTCCTAGTATCCCCATTAGTAACTCCTACAGTAGGTCCCCTATATAATCCCCCATATAACCCCCTTTAAGGAGTTTAGGCTATAGCTCAGGTCAGACCCTCAGGGTGTCCTTGCGTTTTACGGCGCTTTTGCTGTCACTTTGGGAGCATTGGCAAGGGGAACTGTTTGGGGGCGTGAAGCTCTAGATTTCAGGCTTAGTCGGGTCCTCCCTTCAACAAAGGATGCCCAGCTTCTGGAAATCCTCAGGTTCTCTACACCCCTAGACCCTAAACACCCCTAAACCCTACGTAAACCCTAAACTCCTAAACCCTAAACCCTGAACCCTCTGAACCTAAACCCTAAAGCAAAGCATCTGGACCTCAAGGCTGCGGTGGTTTCAGCATCCCGGAAGCGGCGCACGCGGGCATCCGCACCCCGCGGGAAGCTGGGCGAAATATCCTCCGAAGGTCTCGTTAGGGTTCTTATGGGTTTGGTTTCGTCATCTACGGGGAGTGCATGTCTTCGTGCTGCAATCATAAAGCCTGTTGGAGGTGTACTTTGATGAGAACCAGTGTTCTCATGCACTACCCTCTTATCTTGTAAGGCTGCCCAAAATACTTCACCCCCAAAGCAGGGACCAAGACTAAAAGAAAAAGGCACTTAAAAGCCTCAAGCTCTAACCTACAATACTCATAGCAAGTCTAAGAGGGACTGCAGGAGATAACCAAACCTTAAACCCTAAACCCGAAGCCAAGATTATAGTTCCCCTTAAGTAGATAGAATATGGCTTTGGGTATATTAGAATAAGATCCCCATATACCCCATATTCTATCTACTCAAGGGCGACTATAGTCCTCAACCCTAAACCGTAGTTTCCATTTTCTTTTCCATTATCCCTATATAACCCCCATATAACCCATTATAGTAGTTTTCCCATTTTCTTTTCCATTATCCCTATCCGCCGACCTTGGGGGGCGTGTTGGATGGTTGCCGAAGGCGGAGAGGGTGAAAACCCTCTTCCTTTTATCTTACAGCCCAAACCGCGGGGGGGGGG